TAAGATCATTGAAAGTAATCTGACGTTAAAATTAAATATTATAATTTTCAACCATTTGAGAACATTTGAAGCTAAATTGATGTGTAGAAATTAGACAAATTAGGCAATGCATTAATGTCATGGAATCTAGTGTCAACATTTTCAGACCAGTTTCCTGATCGAATAATAACCTGCGATGATCAATGGATCCTGTACGACAACCGGAAACAACCTGCATTTTAACATGACCATAACAAAGCTCTAATTAATTTTCCAAAGCCTCTTTGCGCTGGCAAACAATTTTATTAGAAACAAAGAAAAGAGTACTGGACTGTTATCTAATACCGGTCCACCTATATGGCAGTGATTTCTGGACAATGTCATCACATATGAAAAACAGAAAGGTGATTCTACAGGAGAATGCTGAGAATACAATGAATTGGACGTGACACCAATGTCAAAGTTTTAGAGAAAATGAAAACAAAAAGGACATTTATACATAATATCATAAGGAGGCAGTAGAAAGATCCAGGTCACGTAATATGGAAAGCAATTCTGAAAACACTGACGCTCACAGGGCATACTGAAGATCAGATGAACAGGGGCAAACAGCAAGTAGCTTATCTAACCTGCTTGCGCAAATCGATGGCAGAATAGAAAATAAGAGCCCTAGTCAAATGAAAAACTTCACCAAGGGGTGCAATGGGGAAAAGTGGAGAATCATGATCCCCCACACCCTGAAGGGACACGGAAATCAGGAAATTTGTTTTTTACCTAATCGTTTTAAATATCACAGCTCATTTAAACTTTCAGGGTATAGTTAAATAAGATAGTAATAACATTTAGGAAAACAAAATATTAAAAAAATCTTTAAAGTGGAATGTACTATTTTCGTACTGTTATTAACGATATTTTGTGCTTGTGGATGAAACATAAGTAAATGGCCGTTAGTACACCAGTCTGTCTGTCTAACTGTTTTGATATAGGAAAAGAAGAAGAAGAAGAAGAATCAGTATTCGCAAGAGATCACGTGATGAAATGTAAACAAAAAAATGGTTTCCTTTTTAGAGGATGTGTGTAGGAAAGACATGATATAGAATCGCGTTTGTTATTTCGTTTATTTTGAATTTCTAAGTATACAATAAGTAACAACATTTCCAATAACATCGTCTTTATATAATCAATAAACAGTCGTCTTATACTAAAGCTATAGGATAAACTCATGAAAATTTTTGTAACTCGTCTTATCTAGAGGTCGTCTTATACGCGGAAATAGGCGGTAGGTTGTATAAAAAATGTATTAAAAATGAATTAAATTTATTTAAATATTATTTACAAAAAAAAAATACAGTCACATAAATTGTTCATATAAACGAAAGGGAAATCTTCGATTTCACGTTTAAAGCCATCGAAGATTTTTGTGTTCTCCCCAAATGTCTGAAAACTCTTTTCACTTTCTTTATATATCGTACTCCTTTCGAAATAATCCCCTAGAATCGAAACAAATGAAAGACACTAGCGGCCATACTATTTATATTATTCGGACTATTGTCCTCATCTTTGTCGACATATTTATTACAACGATTCGGTCGTTGTACGCTCCAATCTTCGTCAGGTTGTTGGAATATCGAACTGAATCTTTACTAAACATGGCATGTGGAAGTAGAACAGTCTACCACAGTGAGCGAAATGAAGGTTCAGTTCGACATTCCAACAAGGGCCTGAATAAATATGAAAAAAAATGAGGGCAATAGTCCGAATAAATGCCGTGTACATAATACCTCATCTCAAAATATAGTGAAGGGCAAACGTTGTAATAAACATGGTAACAAAGATGAGGGCAATAGTCCGAATAATGTAAATAGTGTACATAATACCTCATCTCAGAAATATAGACAGGTACTAGTCGCTATATCTGATTTATACGTTTTTTGCAGGATGTGCAGTTTGTATTATAATGTGTTTAGCTTTGCTGCGAACTTTCGATGAAATGCTTCCTTTAACTTATTATGTTGATAGTAAACGTATGCAGGGATAATCCTACAATGTTCCAAGTGTTCGTAATGGATGTCAATCCAACTAATCTACAGAACGCTAAGGAAGAGATTCTGTGTATGGTGTCTTGATTTTAGAACTGCTACCTCATTTTGTTTTAACCACTATTTTTCAGTTTTGTTCGCATGCAAATCTCAAGTTTCATCAGCTTGAAAATGCTACGCAAAAACAAAAAAAAATAACATCCTTGTTTTAAGATTGCTCTAGATTGGGGGGACGTTGTTTTCGGTTTAAAAATTAAAGCTCATGCAGAATCCATATTTCATTTTTAAAATATTTCAGAATTAAATTTAAACTGTACTATAATTTCCATGCCATCTAACAGAAGAGTTGATAAATTTATTCTCGAGACTAGAAGACAATTCTAATATGTTATTATGAGCCTGCTTTGCGTCATGCCATAGTTATTATATCCGACATTACTTCGTGAACATCATAACATTACTCCTACTATGCTACCGCGGCGTTAATGATTTTAAAAAAAAAAAATTTTTCCTCTATCCTTAAGGATCGAAAGCACACTTCATCGATTTGACATTTCGACACTTGAATAAAAACTGCAGATTTATTAGAACCGGCAGTATCAATCTTTTCCGCAGTGCTGGGCTTAGCATTCGTCAGGTTTTGTTGGTGGTGGTGTTGTGTCTATAGTTATTTTGCGCTGCGTTTTAAACCTATCTCAGTCCATTACTTAACTGGGGTTTGTTCGACCCTCTGCCACGCTGGATGGCTCCACGTCAACCTACTTCTTTTCAAAATGAGCAGATACCCATATCTATGGAATCGTCTTACAGAGAACTTAACACCTGAAATATTACGCCCCAGAAGTGTTCTCTCGGCGTAGTCAGGTTTTCCTGCCACTGCTACCACGCCCACCACTACTGCTGCCATTACTTTGAATCGTTATTGTAGTAACTGCGATGATGATGATGATTACGTAAAAAAATTCTCTTACTACTACTAATAATAATACTAATACTACTACTAATACTAATAATAATACTAATACTACTAACTATTACTAATAATAATACTAAAAAATAATACTAATAATAATACTACTACTAATAATAATTATACTACTAATAATAATAATAATTATACTACTACTACTACTAATAATTATACTACTACTACTAATAATAATAATTATACTACTACTACTAATAATAATAATAATTATACTACTACTACTACTAATAATAATAATTATACTACTACTACTAATAATAATAATGTAAACAACAGAAGACTGGATGATGATCTCTCTCAAAGAGCAAAAAAGAAATAAGGCAAATTATCCAGAAATAAAGGAAGGTAACAAATTCAAAAAGGGAATTTCTAGTGGGTGAAGAAATGCGAATAAACCATAATACATCGATTTTAGCGGCAAAGAACATAAAAAAGAAAGCAAAATCAAGGTATCAAATAGAGAAACGATTGCAAAATAAGGGTCTTCGTAGTTAATATTCTGTCCGTACCAGACAAGGTGATTTAGACTAACCCCGTACCCATCAGTAGGTACGTAGTGCAGGTTTCAAAGCTGAAATCGAAAGTTTTATTCTTGCTGCACAGAAAAAAAAAGGACTGCAATCTTGAAATTACCAAGAACATATACTGAAAATTTGTGTATGACCGAAATGCAGATTTTGTGATGAATATCCAGAAACAATTGACCATCTTGTATCAGAGTGTTAGCACCCACTGAATACAAAATTCGGCATGATAGAATAAGTCAGTATCTGCACTGGAAATTATGCAACTCTTGCGGGAAGGTAACTTGCAAGCAATTAGTATGAACTTCATCTAGACCCGTTTACAGAGATAGGACCTGTAACAATTTTATTGGACTCTAAAATACACACAATCAAATCTAATCGTCCAGACATCGTAATAAAAGATCTCAAGAACAGACTATTGACATTCCAGTCTCTGCAAATTGCAATGCGTCTTTGAAGAGTAAAAAAAAAACTATCAAAATACAAGAATCTTGAAGTGAAAATATAAAAAAAAATCAGGCACATGAGGAGAACAATAATTCCAGTTGTAGTTGGAACTCTCGGATTGACTGGAAAATATTTCGATGGACTAATTAAAAGAATTCCCGGTAGCTCATGCCTTAAAGCAATACAAAAGAAATGTACTCACAAGTTTATCTCACACATTACAAATAGATTTAGGGCACCTCGGATTGGTGTAATCGTTAGTAAGCTTGTCTCACTAGATCAGTTACGACTGAAAAGTTATTTCGATCCTCACTATGTGCCACATCTGAATTAACGCTTACAAAATAACCATTACGAAGAGATTTATCTATGTAAAATGTGTGGGATTTTAGGTTGTTTTTTTTTTTTTATTCCCAAGAAATTGATAAGTAAAATTGTCATGAAGCCATTTTTGATTATAAGTCACTGGTGCGACCCGGAAGGAAATGCGTATAAAACATCCAAAGAAATAATAATAATAAAAATAATTATTTCAAAAGGGGTGGATTCTGAACTTACCTGATTGAACGTATTAACCTGTATAATTTTTTTTTTCCTGAAATAAACTAAGCTGCAATAAATAACCCGTTCAGTACCACAGATTTCCTTGATATTCGCCTGGCATTAACTAGCTGGACATATAAACTGTAGTCTGACATACTTGCTATCTCCATTAATGAGCGGATAAGTGATGTCAGTAGAGTTATTGCTTGTTTTGTTAAGTTTGGTTTGTTTTCTATTGCTTATCATCACTTTGTAGAAAAGATTTTTATATTTTAAGATGAATTTTCTGTACTTAATAAGGATTTTAGTTATACAGGACTTACTATTTAACCCATAGAAGGGAGGAGAAGTGTTTTTATAGCTTTCCCAAGGGTGTTTGTAAGTAAATGAATATAATGGACCCAACGTGTATTGGAGCTTGGCTCACAGATTAACAAATGCAAGCCATTATCCATTACACGAGACACACATCCAAGCTTTCAGCAATTAGTATTCCCAAAAAGCCACCCATCTTGGTAATAACCAGGCTTAACGTTGTTTAACTTCGATGATCCTACGGGAACTAGTGTTTCAAGGTGATGTGGGTGCAATTTTTTTTTAAATTTTGAATGACGAAGCAGCCAAGTAGACTGGGAAGTCAAATGTGTTAGTTTGGAAAATTCTTAATCGGAGATGGTCTTAGCGGACTGGGTTACCTGTGGTAAAGATATTTCTATCTGGGCCGATCATGTATCAATATGCGCTGGGTCCCGTAGGCGTCAAATTCTCAAGGACCTATTCCTTCATTATGCGTCCCAAAATTTATGCCGCCGTTTCAAATAAATTTAATGTTCTACAAACGTCACAACCAGATAATGTTTCTCTTTCTGATTGTAAGTATATATTTCCATTCTTATTTTCCTTAAATGTCCCTTCATGTCCTTTGCGTTAATCCTTTGAACCTTGAGCGCCGCTTAACTTGTGACAGAGAAAAATAACGCAATACCCAGCCACTGGTTGAACAGTTGTAGAGAAAAATGACTGAATGCACAGTCACCAGTTGATCGGTGGGTAAACACTTGTAACTATTTTTATACCTAACGTGAAATATTAACTATCACTTTTGACTCAGGAGCCCAGGGAGAAGGATTAAAATTGTTGAGGAACGCAGGTTTCAAAGAGTTAATGTCAATGTTGGTAAAATTCATCACTTTGAAAATAGATATATGTATATGTGTATACTAAATGTCATTTTTTGGATGATGCAAAGAAGTAAAAATTCACAAACTTGATCTAAAATATTGTTTGTTTTATGTAAGAAACCTTGATGATCGTAAATAAATATTGGCGATTTGATTTTCTATACGGGATAGCGGATGTTCAGATGAGAGCTCCATTCGTTAGTTCCACCAATTTAGATATTTCCCGCCATTTTCACGGTGCCTAATGCCACAGATTCTCTTCATTGACTATGGTATCAAGAAGGTTCCATCCAAGCGAATTTTCCCAAAGAAATACCAACGTTGTGAAGCAGATCTACACATGGATCATTTCCTGAACAATATAATGTTAATCTCTTCTAGTCAAGGATCAATCGTTGCCTATCTTCCGTAACCTCATAATCCTCGGGTACTACAACGTATTTCGCTCATATCACGCCTCATTACCGTTTTAAGTGTTAATCCTCTAATCCGTAGGGTAGCATCTACAAGGGATCAAAATAGTGAACCCCCACACAAAAAAAATCAAAAGTATACTTTTATAACAACATGAGCAACAATACATCAAATTTATGGAAAAAAGGACAACACTAAAATGTACAAAAATGATTATATATATATATATATATATATAAGAGCAGATTATATAAAGTAACAATTTTAACTGTTTTTTTTTTTATTACAAGGCTTTGTTAGTGAAAAGCATTAGATTACGGATTAAATGACTCAGTGGGTTGATAGTATAAATAGTGAAGATAAATTATGAAGCTCCACACAAAAATCAAAAGTATATTTTTATAATAACATGAGCAACAATACGTATCTATAGCAAAATGACAATACTAAAAATGGATAAAAAATGATTTCAAAAATTTATATATGTGAAAATTATATATATATATATATATATATATATATATATATATATATATATAATTATTTATATATTTTATGCGCGGTACTTATTAGAAAGTGCTCAATATCAGAGAACGAGCTAACATAATTGCTTGGATTGATGTGAGTTTGTGACCCTGGGTTTCACGCTTTTGCGATCATCAGACAAACTGACTTTTTTTTTTTTTTTAAATTTGGTTTTATGTAGATTGCGTGTATTGGTGTTATTATGGGAGTGGGGGGAATCGTCGTCGTGATGTCCCTCATGCTAACTCAAACATAGATGCATGTCCGTACACCCGATGATGTTTGAGTTAGCACAATGACATGATATATAAGAGCAGCTTATGTAAAGTAACAATTTTAACTGTTTAGATTACAAGGCTTTGTTTGTTAAAAGCATTAGATTACGGATTAAATGACTCAGTGGGTTGACAGTATGTAAAACAAACCAAACCAATGATTGCCGATGCTTATATTTCGATGTAGTTTAATATAAAAAATATGATACAATGAAATATAGAAGATATAGTAACATTTTGAAAAAAATATTTTTGGGTGAATAGAGCCCCAAATTTTATATCACCAGTTTAAGTGAACCCTCTATATTTGATGACACGAAGGCCTTATATTTTGAAGTTTAGTAGCAAAAACATGATAGGATGAAATATAGAAAATATAGTAAAATTTGGAGAAATAATTTTTTTTTTTATAAATTAGAGGCCTTTAATTTTCGGAGAAAAATTATAATAATCTTATCATCGTCAATCTACATTAAAAATACCCTTTTTTATGCCTTTACGGCACAGTTTTTAAATGGTATGTTTTTCTATACACTGAAAATGGAGATTGTTTCGGTGTTTGAATCTTTCCTGTTGTTAACACACTTCAGTTTCTTTGGCCTTTCCACTTGACTTTCGTTTTTATCGCCGTCTTTCTCCTGTCCTCTCTGACAAATATTTGACCGTGCACATGCTTTCACAAATCTTTCTCATT